ACTGCTGACTCTTTAGCGATGAGCTGATTTGCCTTCTTCTTCAGCAAGTGTAACAAACACTGCTGCTTTTCAGTGGTTTTGCCAGCCAGCCACCAACAGACAACAATCTTCTTTTTCTCCATTGTTTGACCGCCATCATCAGTGCAATAACTCACCTTTCTCCCTCTCTCTCACCTCTTTTCACTGCTGTACTATCACTAGTGGCACAGCACGCACAGCATCACGTGCACTTCAGATCACTCTCACTTTGGGCTAATTACTCTGTGCACTACATAACTTGGCAGTAATGAAGGAGAAGGAGAAGGAGAAGAGCACACTGGCACTTGCATACTTTCATATGAGACAAATCAATCTAAAACTGAGCAGCCATTCATAACTTGTTCTTGTGGCTGTCAGGCAGTTTAGAGTCAAAAGGGAACAGATTGAGGCAGCAGCTCTGCAGTTTTCCTTGCTGCAATACCAATACGTCAAGTGTCACCGTCGGTGTTGCCGTGTGACAGTCGCCGTTTTTGGCTAAAAATCCGTTGCTAAGAATATCAGCTAAAATGGCTGCTCAATTTGACTACCAAATACAGGTGACACTTTATGGTGCGGCGCACACAGATGTCTGTGGACTCTAATCTTGAAATCATCATCCCGGCACTGTCATTGCTGATGTAAATGATGTGCACACATCGGCGGACATGCGGACGGCAATTGTTACAGCATTTACATTGCTAATGAGTGATGAGAATAGACACAAAGTGCACAGACGGTGACAGTGAAAAGCGGTTGTTTGCTACTTGACACTTGACACTTTTGCGTCTGGCCAAATTGGCTTGTTGTTGCAGCACTTTTATTAATTCAGCAGTGAACAACGTTCACTCTGAGCATCAACATTGCACACAGCATCTCCTGTTCCTTCCTAAACAGGCAGCAATTATCAAATCGCACACTGTGTGTGCCATTTGCAAATGATGATGAGAAGATCGTTTACAAGCTGTGGTTGCTTGTTTGTTTGTTAAACTACATGTCTGAGCATAGGACAACAACACAGCTACTGGCACAAACAGTTAGGGCTAATTGAAGGTCACCGCTGACCTCACACTGATCACCCGCTGATCGATTGGACAGTGTTCTTGTTGTTTTGCGGTGAAAAACGAGAACAGAGGAGTTTTAAACTAAACGAGTAAGATTTAGTGTGCCTGGAAGTCTCAATGATGTAAAAGAGACGCATCTCATCTCATCTCATCTCATCTTCAGCATCAGTTTGCCCTGCAGCATCAACCTCACACAAATCGGTGATGTCAATTGATCGAAAACGGCTGAGCTTTTTGTGCTCGTCAATTGACTTTTGCCTCTAGTTGAGATCGAAATCATTTTAAATGACTGTGCTATCAGTGGCAATGGCTGCTGATTGGTAGCGAGCAAGCAACAAGTGTCGGCAGATTTTCAGTGAGAGAAACCTCGTAAAACCGTATGCTTTTTCTTTCTCTCTCTCGCTTCAGCTCATCCCATGCAAATGGGCATGTTTTTACCGTTAATCGCCGCTGATATTGAGTGTGTGTTTGTGATGTAACTGAACATTTCCCTACAACAAGTAGCGCTACTGCACTGCTTCCAAATGCACTGGCCAATGCTGATCACTTTTGCCGTGATCACTAAATTGAAAGTCTCATCTCCGCTTTCTCTTCTCTCACTTTTTCTTTCGTTTCTTTCATTTCNTTTTTTCTCTTTCTCGTTTCAGCTCATCCCATGCAAATGGGCATGTTTTTACCGTTAATCGCCGCTGATATTGAGTGTGTGTTTGTGATGTAACTGAACATTTCCCTACAACAAGTAGCGCTACTGNCTTTTTCTTTCTCTCTCTCGCTTCAGCTCATCCCATGCAAATGGGCATGTTTTTACCGTTAATCGCCGCTGATATTGAGTGTGTGTTTGTGATGTAACTGAACATTTCCCTACAACAAGTAGCGCTACTGCACTGCTTCCAAATGCACTGGCCAATGCTGATCACTTTTGCCGTGATCACTAAATTGAAAGTCTCATCTCCGCTTTCTCTTCTCTCACTTTTTCTTTCGTTTCTTTCATTTCTATTTGCCATTAATTAGCCCCTTAATTGCGCTATTTAGATGTGAATGAGTGCGTAAGTGTCTCTGCAGTTCCCAACGTGTTTTGGAACACAGTGTTGCCAGTGCAGTCCAATGTCTATTGCCTGTCGTCCGCCTTGCTTTAACTAAAACTCCCGTTCACTTTCTTTCATTTTCTTTTTTTTCAATTTGATAGCAATACTTGATCAGCCGTCGTCTTCTTTGGCTGTTCCTACAATTAGCCGCTTCACTGACGAAATGACGACCATTTTCTCAATCTCATTTAATTGAGAAAACAAAAAGCAGAGTGAATCGCAGAATTGTCCTGTTATTAGTAAAAGTAATGAAAGTGTGTGTGTAGTAGTGACTAAGTGAACCAAGGACAAAACAGGATGAAAGAACATTGTGGACAATGAGACGAGGATGGCACAGACAACACAGTGGTTTGTCGCAATCCTCTCAGCAAATCAATTTCCAGTTTTGCTTCTTCACACATTACTTTGCCTACCCGGATCACACACACACAGAGAGACAGATTACTTGTAAATGTTCTCGTGAAAGTGCCTCTAAAAGACTGCTGCCCAGTAGCCGTAGTCATTCACCGTTCACTATTTCCAGCTGACTTTCTATTCACTTTGAAGAGTGCTCTTACTAATGATCACACTTNCTACCCGGATCACACACACACACAGAGAGACAGATTACTTGTAAATGTTCTCATGAAAGTGCCTCTAAAAGACTGCTGCCCAGTAGCCGTAGTCATTCACCGTTCACTACTTCTAGCTGACTTTCTATTCACTTTGAAGAGTGCTCTTACTAATGATCACACTTCCGCGACCGGTGAGGCTTCTGCTGCAGCAACTTTGCCACCGATGAGCAGTCTCAGTCTGTGTCAGTGAATGAGCCGCTGATGATCGTCGTCCGTAGCAGGAGAAGACTGCAGCAACTTTGCAGCAAAAAAGTCACTGCTTTTTGTCTAAATTTAACTTTGAAGTGAGAGTGAAATACGGGCAGAAGATTTGTGGTGGTTGCAGTGGTTGCCGGAGCTGTCTAATTGAAAACTGCCAGTGATTCAGCACTACTGAGTGCCTGCGAATGGGCATTTCATTTCATTTCATTTCATTTGCCTACCTGATGACTACTGCTCGCTTACACTGATTTGTGTGATAAGCAGACTGTGAACAAAAAGAGAGAAAGAAAAAAGGCTCGACCACCAGTGCGGGTAAAGTTCGGTGACCACCACCATCATCATCATCATCATCAGTAACGGCCAGTTGCTGACCGACAGTAGCAGAGTTGCTGCAATGCAATAGCACCATCTTTTCACTTTACTTTCCTCCTCAATCGGCTTTGATTTATTTGCTTTATATTTACCATTACCACCGTCTTATCAGTTTTGCGATGATCTTTCTGAGGACGATGTTTTTCTTTTCTGCGGTGTTCTACTCGCCTGTCACTACACAGGCTTATTTCCATTCGGGCACCATGATGATTGGAGTTAATCTGCCGATCGCATCAGCTGCTGCTGCCGCCGTTGCCGCCGCCAACTTCCTTTTTTTGCTAATTCAATGAGTCTCCAATATATTTCATATTGTTTGAATCAGCAGCATCTCAGCATTTTACTGATTATTTCCCCTTTCTATCAATTAGCACGCTAATTAAGCATTGGCGCTACCTCATTTGAGCTTTCTTTTCCTCCTTTTGTAAGTTGGTTCCAAGAAAGAGGGCGGTGACCACCACACACTGAGAGAAGATGCACTCNATTGGCGCCACCTCACTTGAGCTTTCTTTTCCTCCTTTTGAAAGTTGGCTCCAAGAAAGAGGGCGGTAACCACCACACACTGAGAGAAGATGAACTCTTTTTGCTCTTCAATTTCATCAGTCTCGTCATCACCGTACTAATTGCCCCGCCACTAGCCCGGCACAATGGATCACGAATTAGGCTAAAATCATGACTCTTCTCACTGTCTCCTCTGTTTCTGTCTGTCTGCGCCTGCCGGCACATGTCTGTCTGTTTGTGCATTTATGTGGTTTGAAGCAGTCTGCTGATTTTTTGTTTTTGGACAGAAGTTACTTCTTTTTTTCTTCAATTTAATGTTGTTTACTGCTACTCAATATGTGTCATTAACAACTTGTTAATTGACGGGACGATTATGCTAATTCAAAAAATGATTTTGTAATCTTCAACCAACCAACTAACCGCTCTTTTTCCGACACTTAGGGTCGATTTCCTCCGACTTTTCCCCCGCCCCTCCAAAACAGCAGCAGCAGCACCAGACCAGCCTGGCCACCACCACCTCCACCTCCTCCAACGCCTGCCCCCATCTGCACGGCTACTACGCCGACCGGGATGACTGTCGGAAGTTCTACGCCTGCGACGACGGTCGCGCCTTTGCGATGAGCTGTCCGCTGGGCCTGGCCTACGACGAGCTGACGGGCACTTGCAACTGGCCGGACATGGTGGAGGGCTGTCGGAGCGAGGAGATGCTCCGCTTCACCTGTCCCGACCCCTACGAGAATGACATCCTCGACTACGGCGACCCCCGCTACCCCACCAGCGACTGTCGCAAGTTCGTCGTCTGCGTCCTCACCGACCTCTACGGCAGTCGCACGCCCCGGCTGCTCGGCTGCGAGGAGGGGCTGGTCTTCAACCCGATCACCAAGGCCTGCGACTACCCGGAGAATGTGCCCTCTTGGTAAAAAAAATATTTTTTAAATTAGAAATTTTAATTAATTACTAAACTCACTAATTTTAGTGCCAACTACTACGACTCCAATCCGGCGGCCTTGGCCTCCAACCGCTACCGACGAGCGCAGGTGTCACTGCCGAAGAAGCGACGAAGTCGACACTGAGCGACCAACAACAAAAATTTGTAACAATTTTGGACAAAGTTTCAATTCAAAGTATTTTTGAAAATCAGTNCGAAAAAAATATTTTTAAAATTAGAAATTTTAATTAATTACTAAACTCACCAATTTTAGTGCCAACTACTACGACTCCAATCCGGCGGCCTTGGCCTCCAACCGCTACCGACGAGCGCAGGTGTCACTGCCGAAGAAGCGACGAAGTCGACACTGAGCGACCAACAACAAAAATTTGTAACAATTTTGGACAAAGTTTCAATTCAAAGTATTTTTGAAAATCAGTCAGCAAGTTTCACTTTAAATGACCTTCCTTGGCTTGACTATTCATTTTACCATTTTTTTTTGTTTTTACGCAGACCTCGTCACCCCACTTTGACGTTTCCCACTCCTCCTCGAATTCTTCCTTCACCCAGTGATTCTCCTTTTCTGCAACACAGAAGAGCTTGTCTTGCTTGTTTGCCCTTTTCGTTTGCCACTACTATGCAACTGTTTTTTTCATCGAGTGGCCACCAATGTTGACCAGAGTTGATTTGCGTATCTTTGGTAGGTTTTACTGCGTTCTATAGTCATCGGCTTTCTTCACCACAACCACCACCACCACAACCTCGCGTCACCATTCCAATGTCGCCTTGCTCATCTCATTTCACCCCTTCATTATCATCATCACCATCTCCCTCATTCTCATTACTATTTCACCCCCTCATCATCACCCCTTCATCCTCTCTTTCAATTCACCTTCTCTATTTCCTTGCCCTTCTCTTTTATCTCTTTCTTTCACTCTTTTATGCTCCACCTAGCGCACATTTTTTTACTTACTTTTTTTGTAAAAGTCAACCGTAATAAAGAAAATGTACAAATCAATATCACTGCTCGTTTGTGTGCTGCTTTCGCTCATTTGGTTTTCAGGGTTCAATCAGATGAAAATGGTGCTGCTGCCTAGTAAAAGTGGTGACTGCTAAAAACTGATTCAGTACAAAACCAGCCTCAGCAGCTTTTCCTTTTGTTGTTGCTTCTGTCACCAGCTAGTTTTCTTCAGTTTTCTTTGTTTTTGAGGCACATTCTTCAAAGTCCGCTTCTTCAAATGCTGTCCATCACGATGCTGTCCACTGCAGTTGTTCTTAACTTGATGTTTTTGGTGAACAATGTCGATTGGAAATTGAACTGTGTGCAATTTTGCGGCAAACTGGTGGCGTAGAATTCTAAAAAAGTTGAACAATGCTGTTTTCACTGAACTTCAACAGGCCATTACAACACTTGGCTATTCATCATTTCCATTTAGCGCAACTGTACAGCTGATTTGAGCACGATACGTTTTGAAACGCATTTTCCCTTTGTCTCTCTTTTTCTTGAAACACACCTAAAGTACCAGGAGTCATGGCGTACTTTGCACCTTTCATCATTCTTTTTGCCTTCGCCGTTCACTTGTGCCTCGTTGTTGGCCAGAGTGAGCTTCCTCCCAAGACCGAAGAGCTACCGGTAACTGTGACGTCATTCAAATCAGACATTTTTTTCATTTTTTTCTTCCGCTTTCCACTCTACAGAGCATCGACAGTCTCTACCAGAACTGGACCAAAAACACCTCTGCTTCCTGGATCACCGGCATGGGCATCATCAAGAGCCACATCTACCTTGCAGACAGCAATTTTAATCTCGTTCGAGCACCTGCCAGCCAGTTTGCCGTTATAGGAGAGGGAAAAAGCACCAAAGCCTGGCTGGGACTGAAGGGCGCCGAGGTGTTCTCCTTCAAACAGCACGCCCCCCTTCATGAAGGAGGTCATTCAGTGGCCCTGGAGACGCTGAATAAACTGAGCGTCGGCTTTGTGGAAGGCGACAGTAGTGGTGACGATTCCGCCATCAAGAAGGATTCGCTGGTCTTCTTTGTGGGCAGAGAAAGCAACGCCGATGAGCTGCCGGTTAATGTCCACGTGGTCTCCCTGGATGACTTCAACCAGAGCGTCTACAAAGGCGTGGAGGCGATCATCGACAGACGCCACAATTTCAATGATATTGGAACGCACTCCCGCAAGATTCTTCTTCTGTCTGGGGGCACCGATGCGGCCCTCTTCATTCAGGGAGATCGAATTGATAATATTGCCTTCAAGAACGCCAAGGGTCCAAAGAGCAAAATGAAGTAAGTTGAATGGTTTGCTCATAAATCGGTGCGCATTATTTATCAACACCATTTTCCTCCGC